TAGGCTCCTAACTTAAAAACTGTCTAAACATTTGAAAATGAGGGTAACAGTTATTAGCAACTGCACCTAAAGCAATGCCCTAGGAAGCTGACATCACTTCTCTAGATTCAGAAAAGGCTTCTGAGAATGTGGAGTGATTCTGCTATACCAGGTGAATGTTTTGGAAAGATATGGTTGGCAATAAATTGTTTGACTGTTTAAAAGTTTATGCTGAACTACAAGCTTGGATCATAGCAAATGGAGTACTTTCCCATAAAGTAGACTTAAATAAGTAAATGAGCTTAAATGATGTATAAAGTATCTCTGATTTAGATCATAGTTATCAGCCACACTGCCTGCAAATAAAAATTTGGGCAATCCGTAGACACAAAATTAAACTTCAGTAAATTCTTACTATACAGGAGGTACAAATAATCTTATCACTTTCCAACTTGTTGGTTTTAACTGAGTGTGAATTCAGATAGACTTAGACTGGCATTATGGGTGCAGACAAGTGACAATTTTCACCTGATCTGGCCACAGAAAGCAGTCTATAGCCATGATCAAACACAAGTGTGTGACTGCATATCACTTCAAAAATAAAAGAATCATAGAAAATGAGGGTTGGAAGGGACCTCAGGAGGTCATCTAGTCCAACCCCCTGCTCAAAGCAGAAGTAGATCATCCCCGGCAAAGCTTTGTCTAGCCAAGTTTTGAAAACCTCCAAGGATGGAGCTTCCACCACATCTCTGGGTAACCTGTTCCAGTGTTTTACTCCCCTCCTAGTGAGAAAGTTCTTCCTAATATCTAACCTAAACTTCCTTTGCTGCAACTTGAGACCATTGCTCCTTGTTCTGTCGTCTGCCACCACTGAGAACAGTCCATTTCCATCCCCTTTCAAACCCTGCTTCAGAGAGTTGAAGGCTGCTATTAAATCCACTCTGTCTCCTCTTCTCTAGCCTAAATAAGCCCAGTTCCCTCAGCCTGTCCGCCTAAGTCATGTCCCCCAGCCCCCTCACCATTTTTGTCACCCTCTGCTGGACTCCCTCCAATTTGTCCACATCCTTTCTGTACTGGGAGGGGGGCATGTGGCAAAACTGAACACAGTACTCCAGATGTGGCCTCATCAATGCTGAATAAAGGGGAATAATCACTTCCCTTGACCTGCTGGCAACACACCTATCAATGCAGCCCAGTATGCCTTCTTGGCAACAAGGGTACACTGTTGGCTCATATTCAGCTTATTGTCCACTGTAAGCCCCAGGTCCTTTTCTGCAGAGCTGCTGCCCAGCCAGTCAATCCCCAGCCTGCACTGGTGCCTGGGATTGTTCTGTCCTAAGTGCAGGACTTTGCGCTTGCCCTTGTTGAACCTCATGAGATTTCTTTAGGCCCAATCCTCCAATTTATCTAGGTCACTCTGAATCCTAGCCCTACCCTCCGGCATATCTACTACTCCCCCCAGCTTGGTGTCTTCTGCATACTTGCTGAGGGTGCACTCCATGCCATCTTCCAGATTGTTAATGAAGACATTGAACAAAACCAGCTGCAGGACCGGCCAACCCCTGGGGCACTCCACTTGATACCAGCTGCCAACTAGACATGGAGCCATTGATTCTTAGTCTCTGAGCCTAATGCTCCAGCCACTTTTCTATCCACCTTACAGTCCATTCATCTAGCCCACCCGTCCTTAGGTTGCCTGTGAGAATGTTGTGGGAGATTATATCAAAAGCCATGCTAAAATCAATAAGACATACAGAAAACTAGAACTCTTGGTTCCAGAATGATACCTTTTATTAGACCAACTGGAAAATGGCAAGAAAATTGTCCTTTTCTGCAAGCTTTCCCAAAAGATTGCAGAAATGGCAAGAAAATTGTCCTTTTCTGCAAGCTTTCCCAAAAGCTTGCAGAAAGGGACAATTTTTTTTGCCATTTTCCAGTTGGTCTAATAAAAGGTATCATTTTGGAACCAAGAGTTCTAGTTTTTTGTATGTCTTTTTGTCTCAGACCAACACGGCTACCAAGTACACCCTTGCTAAAATCAAGGTACACCACATCCACTGGTCTCCCCACATCCTCGTGTGTTGCCTTCTTTGCTCTCTGGCAAGTATCTGTGTTTTTTCAGTACAGGAATGAGGAGAGACTAGAAGGCTGTCAGTGAGAAAAAGCAGCCAGTTGGGCGTTCCCTTGATACCACTCCAAACCTGAACTATTTGTAGCTGGAATGTTTTTAAAGTGGAAGGTTCCTGACATGGAGGTGCAAGACCCTTGGGGATATAGAAGCATCTTCCCCATATGGGCCATAATAAAATGTCTTTGCAACTGTCTTGCATCTGCTCTGTGGTGTTATTTGTCATGACAAAGACACAACACGCCTCAATGGAATTAGCATGCAAATGGAAGCTGGAAGTGGCTGTGGCCTACTTCTTTCTCTGCTACTTGCTAACCATGTGGCCTTAAGCAAGTCACTTAGTTTCTCCTTCTTTTTAACTGAGAAAATAGTATTTATTGGAGTATAAGAGGCTTAATTATTAGGTAATATTTGTGCTGTCCTTCAAAAATGTAAGTTTCTGGATAAAGGCTGAACAATATGCCTGTAGAGGTACCCAGGGCCTGCTCCTCTTCAACCTTACGACTTTTGTTAAGTGGGTGGAAACAGATGCTGAATCAGACTGGGAGTCTATGCAAACTTCACATGGGAGTAAATAATCACGAGGGGCAAAGTAGTGGGGAATCAGATCTTTGGCCTCCCTTTCAAAGGCCTAGTCCTTTATGTAACATTCAGATTTTTGATGGTAATGGCTGGTTTGCAGCAGTACTGATGAGCATCCAAAGCCCCCTGCATTTCAGTTTGAACATCTGGTGCTCAGCAATTCTTGCAAAGGAGGCCCTTGTTCTAAACCTGTGGTTTTCAACCTTTTTTTCATTTGCAGACCCCTGAAAATGTTTGAATGGAGGTGCAGACCCCTTTGAATTGTAAGTATGTGTATTCACATACTTTTGATTGATCATAGTAATCTTTTGCAGATCCCTTAAGACACAGTAGCATGCTGTACTGCTTTCAAAATGTTTTGGTGGGAGATCCTGCTGAGCTCCCTTCTGGTGAAGATTTAAGCTATTGTCTGCCAGGAAATGTACAGGACTGCCATAGATTACCTGAGTCTGCCACTTAGGTCAGTGAAAAAGTCCCATTTATTTTGAATTGCCCAGCATTGCAAATACAATGGCCTTTTGGCCTCACAAGCAGTTGTTGCACCATTACGTGAGAACAAGACATCATTGTGAATTGATGAAACATCAGGAAGCGTATCATGGTGATGCAACAAGTACCTCTTGCTGGCTAAAGGCAAAAAAGTTGCCATGTGTCAGAGGATTCTAAAAATATAAATATTTGTGTGTCATATGGGAAAGGAAGAATGACCTTGACCTCTATTGTGTTATCACTTCCCAGTTTACAGCTCAGTTCACAAGGAAGAGAGAATTTTGATGTGTGGGTTATTGCATTTGTGAACTTATTGCAAAGCCATGCTGCAGTGCAAAATCACTACCCAAAAATCAGTTTGGTGGGGGTATCTAGACTCAAAGTGTTCTAATTGAGCTCTTTCCCAAATCAACAAGCTTGCTTACATCCCTTAGGGCAGCAGGACATATGTGCAGGTAAACCAGAAAAGAGGAGTCATCTGTAGGTTCCAGAGTCAACCCAGTGAGCAAGGAATAATTCATAATGTATTCTGGAAGTTGTGGTTTGGCTTTTCTTCAACCAGAGGGGTTTTTAATTTTGAACATAAACCTGCATTCTCAGAAGTGGGTAGCAGAGGAGCATGGCTAGTCAGCCCACACCCTGCCAGTATGTGGAGACCCTTTTGGCCATGGGCCCGGACAGAAAAGAGCAGTAAGAGCTGTGGTAACTAGGGTCCCTTCTTACAAAGGAAAAACAATCCCAAAGTGATCCTGGCCCAAGTCCAAGCTGCCTGGACTCAGTGGCCCACAGAGGAAGCTCCTCTTCTGCGGCCACGTTGTAGAGAACTGGCTCTTCAGAGTCACTCCAGGGCTGTACCGGACGCTGCATCTGATGACGTGAGCTCACGAAAACGTGCTACATGCATTGTATATGTAGGTATGCATGTGTAATACGTCATATGCAATATATCAATGTGTGTGTATATATATGTCTATATAGTGAGTGTGTGTGTGTACACACGTACACGCACATGGTTAGTCTATAGGGCGCAAAGCTCCTCGGCCTTCGCTGCTCGCCTCCCAGGTCTGCAGCTGGGCCTTCGAGGCCTTCACACCTGAGCTGGGGCCCCTGAAGGGACGGGGCGGGGGCAGCACGTGGCTGCTGAATTGCAAGCCCGGCCCGGGCAGGGAGGCTCCGGGTGGGCCGGAGAGCAGGGACCAGGCGAGCAGCGAGGGAAGAGGCCGGGCCGGGGGAGACTGCGCGCCTCCAGCTCTGCGCGGGCAACCGCTGCGCGCT